AGACTTTAATTCACACATTATTTGTCACCATTGTACCAAAATCTCGTGCAATAAATAGACAAGTGCGAAGGGTTTGTAATCATGAAATATATGAAAAATGAAAACTTTTAAATGTACACGTATATTACAAACTAAAGGTATGAAATAAAATCTTGACGCACGAGGTATGAAAAATTAATGAAGATTATTGAACTCGGGAAGAAAACGCTGGTACAATGTACGAAAGAAAAAGTGTGAAATAATAGACTTCTCGGACAATGTAAAGTCCAGTTTTGACAGATTTTGTAACGACCCTATTTTTTCTTTTAAAATATGGTCGTCAGTGCATGTAGTCATGACTAACTCTGAACCCAAGTTCTGAAGCTTGGTTTAGTTTTCGAGGCCAACTTCGAACCTATTTTCTCTTTTTTTCTTTCTTCCTGTCTTTCTTTTACTTATTCTCCAAATGGGTCGGAAAATGGTAGGGGCGATCGACGAGGTTTTAAAGCTAAGGAATTTGAAGGGGAAGTGGGATAACCGTTCTTTTTTTTTTTTTTTTCGGTTGTTACAGTTTTACACTAAAAAGATTTGTTACATACTCGATCGATTGTTATTGTGTTTGTTAGACGAACACGACTCTCCACCATGGTATGATATTGTTTCCTCTGAGCATAAGTTCTGCTTTGTTTTGGGCTTCCCCAAAAGGTCTTATACGAGAGTATTCTTTGATTATAAACTCATGATCATTGCCTAAATTAGCCGATGTGTGACTTTCATCATCCAACAGTAACTTGTCGTCTATTATAAAAAATGAAAAAGGAAATTTGACTGTCTTTTAGTATTTTTTTTCAAAAAGTGAACAAACACGAGAAATCTCCATAGTTTTTGTTGAACACCACAGCCACTAATTAAGCAAAAGATCATGAGTACATAAGTAAACGACACCATTTTTATTAATATGAACCCATTTAAAAAAAATCAAAAATAAAATTACGAGAGTTTATAGGCTGACCGATGGTACGAGATATTTATATTTATATTTTTTTTCCAAAGGAGAGGAGAGAGACAAGAAGAAAGAAATGAAAAAAAAAATAATTTTTTACTTTGAAAAAAAAAAAAAAAAAAACTCAAATGATTAAAAATTATAATATTTTTTTTAATCATAAAAGGTCACAAATATTTTCAAACTTTAAATTTTATTTAAATAATTTTAAATAAAAAAATTCATTTTTTAATTAGATAAAAATTAATTTACACCCATCTAAAATTAAAAATTAAATAACTAAAATATTTTTTTTGGACATAAAAAAAGAAAAATTAAAATTTTAGAGTTTAATAATAATAAAATTCAACCATTTGAAAAATAAATATATATATTTTTTAATTAAAACATAATAATAATAATAATAAATAAATACAAATTTGACTTCAAAAAGCAATTTGAGGCCACACATACAACCGTTGACTGAGAGTAGTGAGTCTCATAACATGTTCTTCAATTTTAATTAATTAATTAATAATAATAATAATAATTACAAATAATAATAATAATAATTTTCCTTTTGAAATGAAATCTTCAAAGCGACCAAGTCACTGGTCTTCACTCCCACCGCGTTCCCCTTCTTCTTCATATCACCTATAAACATTTTGACTCTCAAAATCAAAATCAAAATCAAAATCAAAATCAAAATCAAGATCAAAAGCTTCCATTGATCATCAAATTCCCTTTGCTGTTCTTCATCCTCATGAGATTTCTATGGGTTTTCTATGGATTTTCCTGTTCTTCCCCTGTTTCTTCACCATCGTTTCTTCTTTATCCTCTGTTTCCATTTCTGAAACTGGAAATCAAACTCTGATTTGTAGTTTGAATTCACGATTTTCTTTCAATTGTTCTAGTTTTCCTTCTGGGATTCAAATTCCCTTCCGACCCAATGATTCTTACTCCGGGATCGTCGCCGGAGATGGGTTCTTTTGTGGGTTGAGAGATTTTCCGACCGCCGCCAAATCCGTCCTTGTTTGTTGGAGATACTCTGTAAATGGAACAAACATGGATACCAGAGTGGTTTACAATGGCCCGAATTTGAAGGAGCTTCGAGCTGGAAATTCCCACATTTGTGGAGTTGTTAACGCCACTAATCGTCTTCAATGTTGGCAATGGCGGCGGTTCACTCGGTATTTCACTTTTGATTTTTTGTCCATTGCTGTGGGTGGTGATTTCGTTTGTGGTCTCTCCGTCGCCGGCGAGATTCGTTGCGATGGAACTGGGAATTCCGCCGCTGCCGCCTTCGGCGGCAGCGGCTACAAGGCGGTTGCTGCTGGGTTCCGGCATGTATGTGGGATTGATTTGAGGAATGAACTGGCATGTTGGGGGGTGGGAGCCGGAGAGATTCCGACCGGGGAGTTTAAATTGTTGGCTTTGGGGGATAATCGGAGCTGTGGTCTCCGGTTGAATGGGACGGCGGTTTGTTGGGGTGAAAAGAGTTTTACCTTGCCGGAGAGGTTAAAAGGGGAGTTTTTTACTGCGATTGAGGCGAAGAAAAACGTGTTTTGTGGTGTTTTGAGACGGAATTTCTCTTTACTCTGTTGGGGAAATGAAATTTTCGACCGGAATTTGTTCTCTGTTTTTGATTTTGTTCCACCTGGTTCTTGTAGATCGGAATGCCCATGTGGCCCATTAGCTAACACAGCTCAATTCTGTACACAAACAACCATGATTTGCAAGCCTTGTGAAGAAAGACCTCCTCTTCTTCCGCCGCCGTCCCCCGCCGCACCGCCGCACCTTTCCCATCACTCCTCCGGCCAACGGTGGAGTGGCAGAATGGTGGCTCTACTTGTAGTGGGCTGCGTTGGGAGCTTGTCATTAGTACTCATTTGTTCCTTTTTTGTGTACAAATACTGTAAAAACAGAGTCTGTCGTGTTCATGATTCTGGCCCAATGGAGGATCCTGTCGGAACTAGCGGCGGTGGTGGCGGTGACGGTGACGGTGACGGCCGCCGTGATACGGCGGCCGGTCGGAAGAAGGTGTTGGAGAAGAGATTGAGCCATTTGATTAGCTTGGGAAATGGTGGGCAATTGGGCCAATTGGAGGACTTTCCACTTTCAACTCTTCTTGAAGCAACGAACAATTTCTCTGAAGAACACAACATTGGGAATGGAAGCTTTGGATCGGTTTATAGAGGCGTGTTGAGTGATGGTCGTGAAGTAGCCATTAAAAGAGCTGAATTCTCTCCAATGTGGGAGACCAAGAGACAAGAAGACAAAGACAACGCTTTCCTTAACGAGCTCGAATCATTGTCTCGCATTAGCCACAAGAATCTCGTACGTCTTCTCGGCTTCTTCGACGACACCCACGAGAGAGTATTAGTGTATGAATTCATGAGCAACGGCACTCTCCACGACCATCTCCATAAGCTCCCATTCTCGTCGCTTTCTGCTTCCTGGGCTCGTCGTATTGCTGTTGCACTCGACGCTGCTAGAGGAATACAATATCTCCACGACTACCTCTCCCCACCGATCATCCACCGTGATATCAAGTCATCGAATATCCTCCTCGACGATAGATGGACGGCGAAGGTCTCGGACTTTGGACTGTCACTGATGGGGCCAGACGATGATGTGTCGCACTTGTCGCTACGTGCGGCTGGAACAGTGGGGTATATGGATCCAGAGTATTATAGGTTGCAACAGCTTACGACGAAGAGTGACGTGTATAGCTTTAGGGTTGTGTTGTTAGAGCTGTTGTCAGGGTGTAAGGCGATTCACAAGAACGAGAACGGGGTGCCGAGGAACGTGGTGGATGTGGTGGTGCCCTACATTGTGAGAGATGAGATTCATAGGGTGTTGGATTTGAGAGTGCCGGCGCCAACGCCGTTTGAGATAGAGGCGGTGAAGTATGTGGGGTACTTAGCGGCTGATTGTGTTATTACGGAAGGAAGGGATAGGCCTTCTATGACGGATATTGTAAATTGTTTGGAGAGGGCCTTGGCTGCTTGTTTGGCGCCTACAACCCTCTCTAGATCTTCAACTGAGTCATCAATGTAGAGCATTTGTTCAAATTAAATTGAATTCATTCAACATTCTTTCAAACCCTTCAACGTGGATGCTTTTGATCGGTTTCGTCCGCTAAATTTTCTGTTTCCTTGAATTCGTTATGAACCGTCAAATTTCTTGAGAATGATGGGATTTGTTGTCACAAACTTTGAAAGTTGACATGATAAACGGCTGTTGCGTCCGATAATGATAAACGACTTTGTAAGTCGACACAAACTTCAGTCTCGCTCGAATGAGTTGGTTGGTACTAAAAATGTTAGACATTTTAGCTAAGCATTCAAGGTAGACATGTTTTTCGAGCCTATATCTTCCCAAGAAATGCATTTATCAACTTCAAAATGGATTCAACTGCAAAAACGCTCCAATGCTGTTGACTTTTCGTAAGGATATTGAGTAGTTATTGCATCTTTAAAATTTAACCTTCCCATAACATATAAGCTACTAATTTGTTTTTCCCCGAAGCAAGTTTGCCACTAACTATAGCAACAATGTTCTATCAGTAGCAAAGCTAGCCAAGCAAGAGAAGGTTAGCTAGCGAGGCAACTAACTTTCTAAGTCTTTATATGAACCCGTGTTTGCCAAAACTTTAGAATTTGCAAGAACATCAAAGGCGAAAAAGACGAGTCATAGCTACAAAATGGAAAGAATATTAAGAGAAGCAGTCATAACTACAAAAAGACGAGTCATAGCTACAAAATGAGATAGGCCATGTCTTTAGAAGCAGTCTCGAATAGATGAAGCTCCCTCAATATATGAGATCCCACATTGATTAGGGAGGAGAACGAATGATTTTTTATAAGGATGTGGAAACCTCTCCCTAGCAAACACATTTTAAAAACCTTGAGAGGAAGCTCGAAAGAAAAAGCCCAAAAAGGACAATATCTACTAGCAGTAGACTTGGGTCATTACAAATAGTATCAAAGCCAGACACGGGCAATGTGCCAACGAGGCGGTGTGCTAGCAAGGACGCTGGGTCCCAAATGGGGGTGGATGGGAGGTCCCACATCAATTGGAGAAGGGAACGAGTGTCAGCGAGGACACTGAGCTCTAAACATCGATTAGGGAAAAGAACAAATCATTCTGTACAAGAGTGTGGAAACCTCTCCCTAGCAGACACGTTTCAAAGAGAACAGTACCTGCTAGCAGTAAACTTGGGTTGTTACAAACCTCAGTATCTCTAAAAGATCTTGTAAAGTTTCTCGAACGATGCAACCTGTAAAGTCAATGCAACACATTTAATAAATACATATAGACCATCAAGTTTTCCAAACAAGCAAAAGCACACACATTAAATGAAGGTAATGGTCAACAAATGAAGCACTTGGCAGGTAGTTATGACAAAAAGTCTCAAAAGGATGGTCAATTAATCCTAATATCTATTCAATCTCTACAGGCATTATTAGATGTATAATTGACTTGGGTTTTCATAATGCCGCCACTGTGACTATTTTCAAATTTCAAGCATTAAAAACACCGTTTGTCAACAAATTCAATGAAATTAAAAGTCCTAGTTCTGGAACTTCCGTTGAAGATTTCTTTGAAGAACAATAAGATTTTTTGAACCATGGGAAAACTGCCCAGTGTGTGGATTTCATGATCATTGTGACACAGGCATCAAACGTTTTTCAACTCAACCTATATGGGATTCCTAGACTTCTAAATAGTAGCTTTGACTTCTCTTTGGGGGTAGTTAAAAGAGAAGACCACTTACCCGAATGAAAGTTTGTTTCATTTTCGGTCCGAGGAAGAAGAGGCTCGAAGATCAGTTTCATTAATGGAACGAGTACGTGCTGTATTGACCATTCACGTTGAGCCCCTATAGTTTCTGTAACAGCCCAAGCTCACCGTTAGTAGATATTGTCCTTTTTGGGTTTTCCCTCAAGGTTTTTAAAACGCGTCTACTAGAAAGAGGTTTTTCTACACCCTTATAAAAAATGGTTTCTTGCCCTCTCCAACTGATGTGGGATCTCACAATCCACCCCCCTCTGGGACCCAGCGTCCTCGCTGGCACTCGTTCCTCTCTCTAATTGATTTGAGATCTCACAATTCACCTGTCTTTGAGGTCCAGCGTCCTCACTGGCACACTGCTGGTGTCTGGCTTTGATACCATTTATAACAGCCCAAGCCCACTGCTAGCAGATATTGTCTTCTTTGGGCGTTTCCTTAAGGGTTTTTAAAACGCGTCTACTAGGAAGAGGTTTTCACACTCTTATAAAGAATGCTTCGTTTCTCTCTCCAACCAATGTGGGATCTCACAATCCATCCACCTTCGGGGCCCAGCGTCCTCGCTTGCATACTGCCGGTGTCTGGCTCTGATACCATTTGTAACGGCCCAAGCCCACCGCTAGCAGATATTTTCCTCTTTGGCTTTCCCTTTTGGCTTTCCCCTCAAGGTTTTTAAAACGCGTCTACTAGGAAGAGGTTTCCACACCCTTATAAAGAATGCGTTGTTTCCCTCTCCAATGAATGTGGGATCTCACAATCCACCCCCCTTTGGGGCCCAATGTCCTCGCTGGTACTCGTTCCTCTTTCCAATCGATGTGAGATCTCACAATCCATCCGCCTTCGGGACCAGCGTCCTTGCTGGCACACTGCCCGGTGTCTAGCTCTGAACCATTTGTAACAGCTCAAGCTCTCTGCTAGCAGATATTGTCCTTTTTGGGCTTTCCCTTCCGGGGTTCCCTCAAGATTTTTAAAACGTATCTACTAAGGAGAGGTTTCCACACCTTTATAAAAAAAATGTTTCGTTCCCTTCTCTAACTGATGGGGGATCTCACAGTTTCTACCTCCAATGGTAGTCCATAGTCAATTTCGTTGTCCGCCGCCACCTCACAACCACCTGTAAATGCACCCTAAATCATCATCCAAGGCTATTTTGTGTGCAGAAGGATATAGCATAGGATATGCGAAATTACAACACTTTGGATCAGCAGGCGTTGAGACTACTGAATTTTTCACTTAAAAAACAAGCCCCACCGCCTTGCTACTTGACATCCTAAGCTTGCGGGGGAGAGGGGTTCAGGTGTTCTAAAGTAGCATTGCGTTTTCAAACCACATTAAAGTTGAACAAAGTGTAGTAAAAGGTTCGCTTTAATAGCCAAAAACATTGCACATTTAAGAAAGAAATACGTTTTAAACTCAAATAGGAATACGGAGTTCTAAAAATGTATGACGTTTTGACAGAATCATGTCAACGCCAGATAGACATGAAATGCCCTAGAATGTACTATAGGGGGTGTGACTAGTTGTCAACTCCTCCCTTAGTTTTGTATGACCGTTTGGCAAAATTGTATCTACGCCTGCTAGACCTGAATCACCTCAAAATGTACTATAGGGAGATGCAACTAGTTGTCAAATTCTCCCTACCCGAAAAGTTATATGTTATTTAAGCCATTGTATTGCCTTTGCTTGTATGCCATATAACATCGTTTTCAATCTCTTTCAACCTTGCTTTCAAACTCTCTTTCAAAATCTCTCCACTCCCATTTTCTAAAACCTTCTTCTCAAATCAGGGCCAGAGACCTGAGCATACATTGCCCATCCATAAGCAACGTGATCCTAAGTTGGCTTGACTCACTCAGTACTGAGAGTGAGTGTTGCACAATCGCCAAATCCGCAGCCAAGAAAAGGGGGATTGTGACACATAGCATAGAAATTCCCAATGGCAGCTGAAATCAAACTCATATTCACTTTGCTCAACTAATGTATGACATAAATCTATCATGCTTGGAGTGCACATATATTTATGTGTGTGTATATATATATATATAGTCTACACTTAACAATGGGTACCTTATATCAAGCAAACAGAAGTACCCAACAACAAGAAAGATTAGAATGGATATCCTAACAAAAAATTTACCTCTTTTTTTGGTTGGATGAACATTCACGTCAACGCTCAGATGGCAATATGATCGACACTTTCATGAAAGGTTTGGGTGCTTTAGGAAATTTTTAAAGCACTGTATTCCACCATTCTTGCTGCAATAAGAAAATATATAAAAAAAATGAAAACAATAGCAATGATCCTATGCTCTTCAATTGAAATTAATAAGAATAAAAACAAAGATTAATCTTCATGAAAGTCAATTGAGATAAAGTATGATACAGAAACCAGAAAGGAAACCAGGAAGTTAGTTGCTTGCTAATATCTTATCTTACTTCTAAGATCTTGGTGTTAAGGGCAAGGGCAAGGGCTAGGGCTAGGGCTAGGGCAGGTGATTGTGATGTCGGTGTTTTTGAAAATTCCCATATCATAATTTGGAAGCATCATTTGGAAGAGCTTTTGGTCAATTTACAAGGTTGCTCATGTGAGATCTCACGTCAGTTGAAGAAGGGAAGGAAGCATTCTTTATAAGGGTGTGAAATCCTCTTCCTAGTAGACACGTTTTAAAAACCTTGAGGGGAAGCCCAAGACAGAAGGCCCAAAGAGGACAATATCTACTAGCGGTGGGCTTGAATTATTACAAATGGTATTAGAATCAAACAAGGGCGATGTGTTAGTGAGGAGGCTGAGCCCCGAAGGGGGGTGGACATGAGGCAGTGTGGCGGCAAGGATGATAGGCCTCGAAAGGGGGTGGATTGGGGGTCCCACATTGATTGAAGAGAGGAACGAGTGTCAGCGAGAACGTTGGGTCTTCCGCTAGGCCCCAAAGGAGGGTACATTGTTAAATCTTACATCAATTAGAGAGAGAAATGAGTGCCAACAAGAACGCGAGGCCCAAAAGGGGGGTAGATTGTGAGATCCCAAATTTGTTGGAGAGGGGAACGAAGCATTCTTTATAAGGATGTGGAAATCTCTCCTTAGCAGACGCGTTTTAAAAACCTTGAGAGGAAGCCTAAAACGAAAAACCCAAAAAAGACAATATTTGCTAGCGGTGGGCTTAGGCAGAACCCAAAAAACCTAGAACAACCCTTCCATGGAAAAGTACGACAAAACATCCACACTATATAAAATAAGAACTCACAAATTGATTATACGATGAATGGCATAGCTCATGCTAATAAATATAGTAACCAGCATAGCTCAACTCAGCTAGCCCATTGTAAACCACCAAGACATCTGACCATGAAAGCAACACCAAAGTAATAAAAACATGCAAGATTGACTAATTCTTCAAATAACCTTTCTGCAAGAAAAGCTGAGGTTTATATGATGAATGGTAAAACGACTTAGGAGGTCCACTATCTTCGTTTAATCATCAGATGCATTTTTTTAGTGTCTTCCTCCCAGCAGTTATATTACCAGAAGTTATATTAATAGAGCATGTATGGTTAGGAGGGAGACTCACATCGGCTAATTAAGGAAATGATCATGAGTTTATAAGTAAGAAAAACATCTTCATTGGTATGAGGCCTTTTGAGGAAACCAAAAGCAAAGCCACGAGAGCTTATGCTCAAAGTAGACAATATCATACCATTGTGGAGGTTCGTGGTTCCTAACCTGGTATTAGAGTCATGCCCTTAACTTATTCATGTCAATAGAATCCTCAAATGTTGAGCAAAGAAGTTGTGAGCCTCGACACTCAAGTGTCGAACAAAGGGTGTACTTTGTTCGAGGGCTTCAGAGAATGAGTCGAGCCTCGATTAAGGGGAGGTTGTTCGAGAGCTCCATAGGCCTCAGGGGAGGCTCTATGGTGTACGTTGTTCAAGGGGAGGATTGTTGGGAGGGGAATGATCATGGATTTATAAGTAAGGAATACATCTCCGTTGTTACGAGACCTTTTGGAAAACCAAAAGTAAAGCCATGAGAGCTTATGCCCAAAGTTGACAATATCATACCATTGTGAAAAGTCGTGGTTCCTAACATGATACCAAAGTCATGCCCTTAACTTAGCCATGTCAATAGAATCCTCAAATGTTGAACAAAGAAAGTGTGAGCCTCAAAGGTGTAGTCAAAAGTGACTCAAGTGTCCACTTTGTTCAAGGGCTCTAGAGAAGGAGTTGAGCCTCGATTAAGAGGAGGTTGTTCGAGGCCTCATGGGAGGCTCTATGGTGTACGTTATTTGAGGGGAGGATTGTTGAGAATACATCTCCGTTGGTACGAGGCGTTTTGGGGAAACCAAAAGTAAAGCCACGAGAGCTTATGCTCAAAGTGGACAATATCGTACCATTGTCGAGATTTGTGGTTCCTAACAGACATCGAAGAAAACTAAATCTGCCAATCACAGAAAGTTCAAATTACGCAGTATTTATACAAAAGTGTCTATGAAAGAATTTCACAAGGTTCATTAGAATCTTAAAACCCTCATCTGATAACACTGCTTTCATTCCTAGAAATTTAATACAAAAAACTTAAATCCACACAATATTCAGACGATTGTGAATGTAGCTTATATCGAAATTCAGTTACCTTAATTTCGACCTAAGAAGAAACAGACACGGATGCCATGGCCAGTTTGAGGCCGCCGTCTTGGAACAACGACATCGACGGAGGTGGATTGGGCGTCGAGGCTGTTTTCGACAAGCTCTTTAATGGCGGACACAGGCCTTTGAATGGCGTCTCCGGCAGCGATTCGATTGACGATGGATTCGCCGAGTCGGAGGATTTGGAAGTGAATAATTTAATGAATATTTTAAAGGTAGTCGTGAATTTATCGATGATGGTTTTAATATCTATGAAAAAATGAAAAAAATAAAAATAAAAAGATGTCAGAAGTGGGATTTGAACCCACGCCCTCTCACGAGGACCAGAACTTGAGTCTGGCGCCTTAGACCACTCGGCCATCCTGACACTTCGTTTGCAACATTTTTCAGTACAATACATGTATTGTTCTATGACTTATGAATGATATATGATGCATGATTGATGAATTTAAAAGCCTACAAGTAAGCTAGTTACTGAGTATTTTTATATTCATTTATGTTGCTCTTCTTTTTCATATAGTACTTGATCTACACGACCAAGACGATTGCGTACATGAGAAGTGGAGCTATAGGAGTCGAGATAGAATCAAGTCATAATCTAGACTCGAGTCTTGGATGAACAAGTGTTTTTCTTGGATACCCAATGTTAAAGAATGTGGTCTAACGAACCAGTTTTAACCAGGGACAATTTGTAGTTTGTCTAGACTTGTTCAGATATATAAAATTGTAAGTTCACTCGTTGTGATGATGTAGAAGGTTTATTCGAATGTTTTGAGTTTGACTTAGTTGATTCACACGAGCATAACTCACACTTACAACGAGACCAAGAAGAACTTTCTAAAGTTAAGGAATTGGCTGGCCTCAACCTTAGTGTAAAGATGTACTAGATGATATGTGAAGGTTAGTAAAGTTTAATGATGTTATGGAGAGATAATTAGCTAGAGTACTAAGGTAATGTCAAAAGGTTAGCATGCTACCTCATTCGAGTAGTGGTTATCACAGATAGCATAAGGTCACACCGTTATTCGAGTAGTGGTGGTTGTTGCACTCACAAGCTTACAGATATTACTTTGGTTAAAGTCTCGACCCTATAAGAGATAAGGAGACTATGTGATATTAATATTAATGGTAGCAATGTCTCGGTCTAATAAATAGTTGAGATTTGAAGTTGAAGTCGCTTCCAACCATTGATATCAAGCGACCATTGGTGCGACTTTGTTCAAAACGTTATATTGAAACAATCAAGGCCCTGGTGTGCTAGGTCACAAGGTAGGCAGTAAGGTATTCTTCAAAATGTCTCCAATGAAAGGCGTTTTGGGGTTTAGATGATGTTTCGCATGTTTCGCATGCATGTTATAAATTACAAAGCTCTCCAAATAGACAAGGACTTGAGCTAATCCAAGCCTAAGATACTTTCAGACACAAATGTTTGTTTTAGACACAAATGTTTCTTTTATTAGATCGAGAAAGGAGGAAGTTAAGACTCTAATACAAAAGGGAGATCCGACTCTAATATAAAAGGGATATCCACAACCATTGTTTCCTGTCATCTCGAACAATCCATGTTTTGACCGCTCAAACTCACTGATTCGATTTTGAGGTGTGTTATGTTATTTTTATACTATGATATAAGATTTTCTACGAAACAAGTTGTGCTATGTTATAAATTATACTACGAGACATGATTATGTTATGTGTTGAAACTATATCCCAATATCAAGTTTTAAGTGATCATTACAGGAAACAGGAACTTGAGGCCAAAAAGTTAACACAATTGCGGAATTAAGGATTCCAAGAAATTCGAATGAGTTACATCACATATATAAATTCAATAATCACCACTCAACAAAAAAGAATACTCAAAATGCATTACAAATTTATACAGCCAGTTGAATATTACCAAGATCAAGCTGAGAAGCAATTTCCTCAAGCTGTTTCTTGACGCTTAAATCAATGAGTTTCGATCCAGAATTTCCAAACCTGACTGTGAATCCAGCCACCAGACTCGGATCAATCTGCGTCTTGATCCTCACATTCTTAGCTCCACTCAATTTCTGCACCTGCTTCGCGATCTGCGCCAAATGCTGCTGCTCCAACGGCACAACCGAACTCACCACCGCAAGCTCCGTGTTCGTAATTTTGTTGTAAACCGATTCGAACTCCGTCACGATCTCCTTCACGATATCGATTCTCTTTGCGTCCACTAGGATCTTCAAGAAATTCGCCGTATGCGGCAGTAGAGACGACGACGCCGCGATCTCATCCACCAACGCAAGTTTCTTCTCGATGCTAATCGTCGGATTCGCGAAGCAATCGAACACCTGCGAATCCGCGAAAACGCTCTCGATCTTCTCGACATCGCCGCTTGTTGCATCCAGCGTGTTGTTAGACGCAGCGACTTCGGCCAACGCCGCAGCGTAGCTTCCAGCAGCCGAGGCGGACATTCTAGCGCCGCCGTGAGAGCGGTGTTGGCCGAGGCGGAGTCTTCCAGAAAGAAAAGTGGCGGAGAAAGAGAGGTTTGCCGGAGTAGTCCGGGAGATTCGGATTGTTGGAAGGAGTTTGGCCTGGAGTGAGGCGGCGGTTTGGTGAAGAGCGGCCATTGATGAGTCCGTTACAGAGGAATTTGAGTTTTCCGTTCGTTCTGGGGATTTGAGAAATGGTTTGTGGTAAATTGAAACCTAAAGAAAGGCCAAGGATTATGTTGTGGAGATGGACGGCTCGGATTGAAATAAAATGAGAGATCAACGGTTGAGAATTGAAGGGTTATCTCGTTGCTGTGGTGCAAAGGGCCTTTGGTTGAATTAGATAAAAAGTGGACACGTGGAAGTATGGGAATGAATGGGCAATTTAAGCCCCAAAATGAAATTTATGGGATTTTGTGGGGGCAATTAGAATTTATTTTAAGCTAAATTATACGTTTATTCACACTCGTCGTCCCTGATACTTTAATTTAGTTTTATCATATATTTGAAAGAAATTTGAGAATCGACATGTTCGACGTATTCTCTTGAAGCAGCATACCCGAGATTGAAGGAATAAGAAATTTGGTATTTAACAGAAGGTCAAATTTGAAAGGGGATATCGAAGAGTGAAGTTTCTACTACCTCTTGTCTGAATCAGCTCATGAATTTACGTCCAAAGCACCAATCATCCGTGGGGTTCTCTCCAAATTGTGACCATAGATCTCTTGCTTCGACTCCTGAATGAGTAAAATACCTAAAAAATCTAAAAGAAATGGATATGCCTTGATTTAGCCTAAGAGCTACAACCGAACTGTGAATGTAACTATCTTGATTTTATTTCCATGGCTTTCACATAGACACCATCATCCGTTTATGGGTGTCATATTCTTACGTGAAGAATAAGTACCACGTGATTTGAGTATTAAAAAATACTCAGTAAGTAGCTCTATTATTGAGGTCAAGAAATACAATCTAGGTGGTCTAAGGTGCCAGACCCAAGTTCTGGTCTTTGTATGAGGGCGTAGGTTCAAATCCCACTTATGACACTTCTTTCATAATTTCATACATAAATTTACTCGGATAAACTAGTATCTACGCTCTTATTGTTGTAGTTGTTAAAAGCTTATGAGCAAGCCTATTGTCAGGATGGCCGAGTGGTCTAAGGCGCCAGACTCAAGTTCTGGTCTTCGTAAGAGGGCGTGGGTTCAAATCCCACTTCTGACATTTCCTTCATATTTTTATACATAAATTAAATTAGCATCTAGGCTCTTATCCTTGTAGTTGCTGAAAGCTTATGAG